TAAAAATGGCTGTCCGCAAAGCCGTCTCATTCGCACCACCACAAGCCATAGTCTCGGCAAGATGCGAAAAAGCGTCACGTACGCCAACAAATTGGCCGTGCCCCAAAGACACAAAAACATCATCATCACTCTGAACGTGAGACCAAAAAAAAAAAAAAAAAAAAAAATTGAACCGTTTTTCAATAAAGGTATAAATAAATAAAAAATTCATTTGTATAGCAGACACGCGTTGCCGTACTCTACCTGTTGCCACGCACCCACCCCACTGGAGAGACGAGTGCCGTGGAAACGACGGCTGCCCAACGACCGTCAGCAGCAGCGCGGTCCTGCCCCTTCGTTTTGTTATGTGGACAAGAAAAAAATAATTTAAAAAATACATCACGCCTCCGACGACGCCACACAACACGCTCACGCAGCCTGATGGTTACCAGGGGTGGCAACCTCAATCGGTGGATGCTGCTCTGCTGGCACGGAGCCTTCGTCGGCGTCGCCGCGGCTCTGAGGCGCCTTCTCTTCCCACGGGAACAGGAAAAACACTTCCACAACAAAGCAAACAAATCCAACGCAACCAAAGAAGATGAAGGCGATCGCCTGGCCCTTGTCCTGGTTGCCGGACGGACCACCGGACATGCCCTCCGTCGCAATTGGGTAGCAGACGTTGATGATGAGATTGCAGAGAAACTGGACCACCATCACAACCGACGAACCCTTCGGACGGAACGAGCGTGGAAACAGCTCCTGAGAAAGCACAAATAAGCACGGTCCAAGGCCAAACTCAAACGCGGCAATGAATATGGCAATGCCAGTGATCGCAACACCGTTCTTCACGTTGGTACTGGCAACGCCGGGGTACACAGGGATCCCGCACAGAAACAGACACGACACCGACGCCGCAAGTGTGGCAACGAGAAATATCCTACGGATCGTGAAGTACCAGGCAAGTGGAATCGCAGCAAGTGTCGTCACAAAGTTCCATAGCATCACCACAAAGCTGCCCACAAGAGGCACCATCCCCAAGTTGCTCATGATCGTCGGTGCATAGTTCATCACCGCATTAATGCCAGTCAGCTGTGTCGCTATATCCATCACAATCCCAATCACCATAGGGCCGAGCATCTGCAGGTAGCCGTACTCATTCGGGTCCAGCGCATCGTCATTGTCCTCGTGCTTGCCTGTCGTAAACTTCGTCTTGCTATCGCCCAAAAAGATGCCAAGCAAAATCATGAGGAACGAAATCAGCGTCGAAAAGGCGCAGTAGCCCTGCATGCGGGCCTGCATCCTGGTCTCCTTGTCAAACTGCACGCTTTGTCCAAGAGCCAAACCCATCGCGGAAGCAAACATGATGCCAAACGTAATGAACACCTGGAACAGGACGCCGTCCACTCCAGAAAGCTTCGGGTGAGCGTTCTGGTCAACATACATGGGGCAGACGACGCACACAATACCGAGTGCAGCGCCAATCAGCAGACGACCAACACACATCACCCAAAACTCAGTCGTTGCCGAGGAAACATGGTACAGCACAGAAGACACAACTTCAACGATGCCAATAACCAGAAACGACACCTTGTGGCCAAACTTCGCAACAAAATGCCCGGCATAGATCGACCCAAGCATGCAGCCAAGAATCATCGCACCAGCAAAGATACCACTGTAGGACGCGCTATAGCCAACCGGGTTCTTGCACTCCTTGTCACCGTACATCCACTTGCACCTGTCGTCCGCGAGGCACGCAGCCTCATTTTTACCGTGACTCCAATAGCAAGTGAAGTCCCTCCAGCCACATTTCCCTCGCACCGCATTCCACGTACATTTCGCGTTCAACACAGTGTCACAGGCCGTCTGCGACTCGTACATCGAGCAGTCAGTAGACATCAAATACATATAGGCATAGACTGGAACGAAGCCAATCGAGAAGCCTAGCAGCGTCCCGCCCACCGCCTGCACCTGTGCAACCTTCAGATTCTCAATCGAAAAGAATGCAGGAGCCTCCTCCTCTGCTGGGGGCAAAACGTTTCGTTGCCGTTCGTCCGCCGTGGGACACGCATCAGGAG